TATATGAGTATAGGTGCCCCCAGAGACTAGAGGAGTCAAAGTCGCCCAGAACTGGAGTTACAGGTGGATATGAGCTGCCTGATGTGGGTTCTGGGCATTGAACTCAGGTCCTCTAGAAGGGCAGTATGTGCTCTTAACTGCTGAACCATCTCTCCAGCTCTGTGGTTTGAATGCACAGGAGCAGTTGGGAAGTTAAGGGTTTTCTTTCCACCCTATGGGAGCTGAAACTGGCCCAGCTGCTTGGCACCTTTGTTCCCAAGTCTGCTTTGAGTCATGACTGTTTCTCACAGGCTGAAGCGCCTGTTCAGAGCTGGCGTCTGCTGCATGTGACAATGCTTAACCTCTCACAGGTGCAGGACCCTTTCCTTGTCTGTGCCTCACAGTAGGCAGATGGGAGTGGTATAGCTCTGGTTATGGACCGAGAATGTGAAAGCCCAGAGAAGGTCACTGCTCTAACACCCAGAAATCCTGGAACTTGAAGGTCATAAGAATGGGACCAGCAGACCTCAGGTAGTGGCTGCTGTGTAAGGAAAATGCTTCATCGCTTAGCACTAAAGGAAAGGGGGAGGGAGGTGAGAATGGAACCAAGGCTCTTTCTCTCAAGGAGAATACCTGTGATCCCAGCACCTTGTGTTTACTTTGAAGAACTGCCCAGATAGGGAGCATGGGAATATGGCCATGACCTCCAGCTACTGAGATTGCTGATGGCTACTCCGTGGCCCCTTGTTAATATGACTCCCCTCATCGATGGCCATGTTCCCTTCCCTAGGACAGTCTGTCTCCAATGACCGACCTGTGAGGAAGGGGCTATAAATGTCAAGACCCTTATTTCAGCTCTGGAAAATTCCAAAGGTCCTCATCCTGGCTTCAGATTTCCCTGCACAATGACCAACCTTTGGCCAACAATGACCAAGAGTAATACGGCTCCTCACTGACTCCATCTATGGACAACAGAGCCCAGAATTCTGGACCCTAAGACTTCATAATCCTGTGGTGGATCTCAGAAGAAACATCCCCCTCTTGTGCTTACAGGCTGGACCAGGCCCCTCTTAGTGACCAGGTGATGATGAAACTCAGGGCCCTGGAGGCAAAGAATCCACAGCTGCTCATTTCCAGCACATGGTAAGGAGTGGGCACAGAACTCCTATAGGTCAACCCAGGCCCTATGTGGCTGGTCCAGAGCTGAGAGGTGGGAACAGGGTCCTGAGATGATGGAAAAGACAAACAGATCCAGAGATCCAGGAACCACAGCAACAAGAGTGAGATTGTGTGTGTGTGTGTGTGTGTGTGTGTGTGTGTGTGTGTGTGTGTGTGTGTGTAATAGTTATATGACCTTAAGAAATAGAACCATATAACATGTCTTCTTAATTTCTTCAATTGGAAAAAAAAGAATATGAAAAGCTGATTTAGTGGTGAATCCTCTGACACAGCAAGTGTGATAATAGTAGATAAGAGTAGCCAGCAGTGAACCCAGACCACTGGACAATGAAAATATATATAGTCACCACACCAAGGAGAGAAAGACACAGACAGAAAGACTCTTAAGGGAAAAAAAAAACCACGATGTGTATCACTGTCCCAAACCCAATACTCAGACACATGTGCACACACACATACACACACTGTACTATGGGACTGAAGAGAAGCCACAGGACAGGAAAGTCATCTTCCACCCCAGAGATTGTGCTGAAGCCCCATATTCTTTCACTTTGGCACATTTCATTTCATGACCATTAATCCCATCTGTTCTCAAGTTCCTAGCTGCTGTGACACACTCGAATGGAGGGTGTACTAAAGACTTAGGAGGGTCAGCCACTCATTGAACAGACATTCCTGCAGATCTACTGTGTTTCATACACTATTTTGGGATCTGAGGGCACATCAGTGAACAAGGCAGGCATGACCTCAGTCTATCAGGGAGGAGACATTTGTTCCTCCACAGTCATATAATTGTACCTGGGAAGGATATTAGTGCGGTGCTCATCTGTCTTATCTCATTGAAAGCTGAGGAGAGATGAGGTGAACTCTCAAAGATGGGAAATGAGGGATGAAAAGAAGGAGAAAATTCCAGGCAGACATAGAGGTTCTAAGGAAGCAGAGAGAACAGTGCACATGGGGAAACCATGTGTGCGACCATCTGCTCTGCCTCACTATTACCTGGGAGCTCCACAGAAGTGCAGGTTCTCAGGACCCATTCCATCCCTGCTGACTCAGAATCTCAGGTGGGGAAGCTTCCTTCAGTGAGCTTTCTGACTGAGCAGCCTGTCCAGGTGACATTTGAGCATAGTGATTTGAGAGCCACTGGTCTAGAGGTCAGTGAGCAGGAAAGGGTGACATAGAAGGACCCAGAGGTGAACAGAGACCACAGCAAGAACTATGACCCATCCTAAGAACCTTCTGTTTCTCCCCAGAGGAAATGAGAGGCTTTCTAGCACCTCAGTTATGAAGGGGCATCTCTACCCATTTTTTATGGTCAGCTACTACATAAAAAATGAGCTAGAAGGAACCAGATCAGAAGCAGGGATGCCTGCCAGAGGATGCTGCAGAGGTTCAGGACACTGCTCACCCCATACTGGGACAAGGATGGAGTCTGTGGAGGGGGAGAGTAGAGAACAGAAAAGAGAGAGATCTAGAAGGTACTGTCTAGGTGATTAGCATTGAGGGTGAGTGATTATTAGTTTGTATTGTGCAGTTATAACACAATGTCTGACACTGGGCACTTAACATAAAGAACTTAAGATTATTTCTTGCAGTTCTGGATACAGGGAAGGGTAAGGGCATGGACCCTGCATCTAGAAAAGCCCTTCTTCCTGTTCCATTCAACTGTGCAATTGGGAAGGCTGAGAGTGAGAGGCCAAGGTGGCTTTAGTGACAAGTCCTGTCAGGCCACAGGAATCTATGTCTGTGATGATAACATTAACTCCTTTGTTAAAGCAGAGCACTCATGATCTCACTGTGTCTTATCCTTCATCCCATCAGCACTGTGGCTTTGGGGATTATCCTTCCTATGTATGAACATTGGGATACACATTCAAACTAGAGCAAAGGAAGGGTTGATGTGATGATCCCAGTTCTGGGGTATGGACACCCAGGATAATGGGGGCATTCTTAGAGATACAACCCAGAAAAGAATCATAAGACTGAGTTCAAATTCAAGTGCCTTAGATTTTATGTGGGGATATCATGTACACAACTCCCATTTCTCTGGTTTTTCCTGACATCTGAGGGAAAGAACTTGTCTGTGTGTAGGAAGCCACGTGTGATGGATCCTACTAAGAAGCGGGTTAGAGAAGAAATGGATGATAGCCCAAAATCACGTAAGCGACAGAGACTACAGTCAGGTATGTGATGAGTTCAGACTCAGCATCATGATTGCCAGATGAAGGGACATCTTTGAAAGGAAGTCATCATTTCTTTCTTTTTTAAATTCATTTTTTTAGAATTTTAAACATGAGTATGAGTACTGTATTTAGATTATTTCTTTTCCTCTGTCTGCCCACTTGTGACCCGCCTACAAACTCTCTCTCTCTCTAATTCATGAATTCTTCTTAAATATTATTATTAAATATATGTGTGAATACATACATGTATGCATATGTACATATTAATACAACCTGATGATCCCATTTGGTGTTGGTCATGTATGCATCTTTAAGGCTGACCATTTGGGACTGAATAACCTGTTATGGAGTTCTTTCTGAGGAGAACTGATTT